GCTTAGGCAAAATCCCACATTTCTTATTCTGTGCTTTGAATGAGTGAAGCTGCTCAGCAAGCCCTTCTCAAATGCGACCTCCACTTGTGACAAGCATTTATTTAAAAAAACTGATAACTACAACTATATTTTTTTTTAAAGAAAAAATGAAGAAACAAAAAAAAAAACCAAAAAGCAACTACCAAACATTTGCTGTCAAATAACTGAGACTCAGAAACCACACTCAAAAATGCTGAGAGGTGCCAAACCCTGCCATATTCAAAGGGTGAAGAAAAACAAATACTAAGTTTTGTTTTCCATATCAGATGAAACAGTTCCCTTTGAGCATTTTGCCTTGGATTTGATACTTACGAAATTAAGAGTTTCTGCTTGCCTGGATTTAGTGGATGAGGTCTATTATTATCCTGAATGAAACCAGAAAATAATTGTTCTGAGTAAAAGCACTTTCTTCTTCCCTTACCGTCAGGCTCTTCCCGCTTCAAGAGGAACAAACACGAAATGAAATGAAAATAGATGTTTTTGTCTGCATGAGAAGACCGTGTGCAAGAGGGGAAAAATTACCACGTACAAAGGCAACCCATAATAGGACAACAATCACGACTTTCCAGATAGGAGGGCCTTTAAAGATATCCATTAGACGTGGACCTGAATGTATTTTTGGGGGGTCTATTTTAATTAACTGTCTTCATATCTTGAAGGTGCTGTAACTAATTGGCAAAATAATTAGTGAAGTGACTTCACCGGGAAAAGAAGTAGTCCTGTATGCCCACAGCAGTTCTTTCACGTGTGCAGTACTGAGAGAGTGGCCAATTCACCAGTAGTTTCATGTGTTCGTCAGAGGGATCCAGTCACACTGCCCTTGGCTGCTGTGGGAATGGCCAATAAGTCACAATTGTTCACAAAAATATGAACACACACACATTGGCACATTCTGCATACTTCAGCTGTCTTATTTTAGCCAAGAGGAGATTTGATCATTTGAAATGGTCTGTTCTGCATAATACGTTCTGTTTTGAAAGGGGGCTTGTTAGTTAGAAGTGCAGTGGCTACTCAGGAGATGGGCACCATTACCACATCACAGATCTGCAACACGCTAGATGGAAACATGCTTGGCAGCAGACCCAGAAAAAGCTGAAAGAGAAATGCAATGCTGTAACCAGTTGCAGCTGGCTTGGTTAAGACTGCATTAAATGAACTGAAACTTTGGAACCCCCTTTTCATGGGCCGCAGGGCAAGCTGGTTTTCAAAGTAGCTGGGTGCGCAGGAAAAGAAGGCTGCACCCGAGCAGATGATCATGGGAATCTGAAGGCAGGATGCTATAGATAAAAGCATACTAGAGCCAGAGCCACTGTCACACAGTTTAGCACTGAATCATATTGAACAAGTTAAGCAAAATCTGTCTCTCTTTGGAGAACTATGCCAAGCACTGCCCACTTCTGAGCAGTTCAACTCACTTTCCTAGAATCACTTTCTACAAGTTGTCAGTTATCTGTCTCTTGCTATCACACTTCAGAGAGCAGGCACCAAAAGTGTGCAAAGACAAAGAGCATACACCAAGTACCGTGTACCCCAGAGACATACTTCTGATTGTGAAGAATCAAAACACAATGCACACTGGATGATCAGAAACTCCCATTAGTTATTGAAATCAACCTGCTACTCTGTCACAAGTATGTTCCTACCAGCTATGACACTGCCACAAAGTCTGGATTTGTCAGAGGGAGATATCTCTCATTATCTCCATGTATCTATGTCAGTTCATACACGTACACAAGTAAAAGAGTACCTGGTTGAATTTCACCCCAGACTTGTATCAGAAAAGGAATAAAATTAAAAGGTTGCTTTTCAAAACAAAGAGAACTAGATTTTTCAAGGGTTAATGAGTAGCTAACACTGCATTCTGCAGGCGTGATGATCGCAGCGTGGCATCTACCTCTAGCCCCACCTTCAGCAGTCGCATTTCACAGTAATACTGAGATGGAAATGAACAACAGGACCGAGTGCCTGGTGGAGGAAGCCCTGCATAGTGAATTAAGTGCCACTCTACATTATTCCACCCTGTTGGGAAGCCAACAAGGGTCAGGCATTCCCATCATCGGGAAAGTGAAGGGGTTACCTGAACATCCTGGATGGGCAGAGCTAGTAACTCAGACCAAAACTGAAACCAAATGAAACAATCATACGCATCAATAATGGAATAAAGCAGGGGGGGAAAAAAAAAGTTCTGTATAAGTCATTTCATGTAGAAGTATACTTCCTCTGCAACTATACGGGCAATAAAAATTGCTGTTCCATCACAGGACCAGAAAATGCTGCCAGGGTCTTGAAATATTTAGACTTTAAAGAAAGACTGAAGTGTAGCACTACTATTAAGAGATAGGAGCATGTCGTACAGAGAGCCTGAGACAGCTAGGATCACTCAGCCTGGAGGGAACATCTTGGTGGGATCTTTTCATGTGTATATAAACCCGAGGGTGGGGAACAGAGAAGATAAAGCCAGGCTCTTCTCAGAGATGCCCTGTGGAGAAGCGGCAAAGGTACAGATTGGAACACAGTAAATCCCATTTAAACAATATAAAACCCCACACTTTTTTACTGTGCTGCAGTGGTCTTGTACTCACACAGGTTGCTCCACAGATAGCTTATGGAATCTTCATCCCTGGAGAAATTCAAAACCTCCTGTACAAAGAATCACAGAGTCCTGAGATGGAAGGGACCACAAGGATCTTCAAGTCCAACTCCTGGTTCCACAGAGGACCACCAAAATTCAAACCCTATGTCTGAGAGCACTGTCCCAAATGCTCCCTGAACACCGGCAGCATGGGGCTGTGACCACTGCCTTGGGGAGCCTGACCATCCTCGCAGTGAAGAATCTTTTACCCAACCTGACTGTATCCTGATGTAGCTCCATGCCATTCCCTTGGATCCTGTTGCTGTCACCAGAGCAGAGCTCAGTGCTGTCCCTCTGCTCCATGTGAGGAGCTGCATGCTGCCATGAAACCCATCCTCAGCCTCTGCTCTTGGCTGAACAAACCAAGAGACCTCAGCTGCTCCTCATACAACTTGCCCTCCACACCCTTCAGTGTATTCATAGTCCTCTCCAATAGCTTTATGTCCTTCTTATATTGTGGTGCCCAAAACTGCATACAGTGCTCGAGGTTAAGCTGCACTAGTGGAAAGCAGACAGAGACATGGTCTTTAACAGCCCACTGATCCTGCCCTGAGCACCAAAGTTGAATTAGATAATCACCAGAGGTCTCTTCCTACCTCAACCATCCTGTGTTTTCTCTCAAAAATAACAGTCCAGAGGTTCTGCTGCTGTGAATGTGCAAGAAAATTGATAGCTTGTAATTGTACTCTTAACTCCTAGCTTTCCTTTAAACATTCTGGTATTTAGGACTGTGAAAAAAGCCTTCATAAAGTGAACAGAGGATTACCTATAATGTGAAGTTAGAGGCTTTTCCGCAGATGGAAGCAAACAACTGTAAGAAGGTGTGAATTGTTCTAATTAACTCCATGGGCACATAGCTGGAAAACTACACAGTGGCAATTTAAATGCCAGCATTTCATTGTCAAGCACTTCAACAGAAATCCTTAGGGTCTGTATATTTCACAGTCCCCTAAGGCGTAGCACATTTTCCAGGGTGACAACAGTGCCACAGAAATCAAAATCAAAACCTTGAGGTCTCCTTTCTACAGTGCAGGTACAGTGATCTCAGGAACAACACCAGTTAAGGTAATAATAGGAAGTCTAGCAGCATACTAAGTGAGGCCAAGGGAAAAAAATCATTAGCAACTTAAGGAGAAAGGGAAACTATAGCCAGATGCACTCTAATTTCAGGTCTGTTTCATTTAAACTCTGGATGCCTTAACTAACCTAGAGATTACCCAAAATTCAGACCTAGTTGCAATAAATGGATGCAGAAGTTCAGTTTGCTGCAGAGCAGAGGAGGCCACAATCACAGCACAAATACTACCAGAAATACAACATATGAAATGGGCACGTTTGTAGGTTGGACAATCACATACGCAGGATTACAACATCTAGATTACAACATAAACCTTAAAAAGGGAGATTAGGCATGAAGAAATGTATGGGAACTGCTGAATCATGGCCTGAACCTCTGATTGATCACCTGAGACAAGCACTGAGTCAGCCACAGGAACACAGGTGAAGGCAATTCAGCTGTGCTGCAGGAATGGGGTGGAGCCTGGCTGCACCTCTCCTAGAGCCATTTAAGAGCTGATTGCCAGGAGGGAGGGATCTCTTCTGGAGATCCATTCTGGTGGAGTTTTATAAGTGAGCCCCGGACATTGGTAAGCATCCTGTCTTTTCTGCTTTGGTGTAATAACTGCGTAGCCAAGCTCTCTAGCCTCATAACTATAACATCTATACATTCATTGACTGGACAAGAAACATGCAAGCTACTTCATTCTAAAGAATGTGATACCTATGCAACATAACAAGCTTAATTATTTACCTCATTAAATTAAAACTTCAAACATTCAGGAGGTATTTTCAACTACAGTCACAGATGATAGTAAAAAAAAGCAGTCACAGCTGCATCAAGGTAAGTTAAACACCAAAGTTTCACAGAGCTGGAAGATACTTCCCTTTACCCTGCTCAGATCCCAGCATTCCCACAAACTACTAGAAAAAGAGATTAGCCCACTAGATCCCGTAATTCTGCTTACAAGGTGCCCACTTAGATGTTGGTACCGCTGCAATGGAGAACGTGCAAAGATGTGGCCCTGAGAGCAGGCAGATCTGTCCTTTTAGTTATTGAAGCTACTGTAGAATTGCCACTTTAGAGAGAAATAGAAGGAAGGTGTGAGCATGAAGAGAACAGGAAAAAGCATTCTGTAGCTCTAAGCATATATGAATCACTGTTACATGTTTTAATATTATGCCACTAACTGCATTAGCAGTAAAAATACGACTGATAAAACTGTTACATAGTTCCCAAATTTAATTTTTTTTTTACTGATCTGTGCAACAGGTATAATACTAGCTTTTCAGCATTTCTGAAGAGGGAGCAGAGGCTATCTATCATCTTACAGGTCCCTGAAGAGCATAGAGACACCATGATAGGAGATGCTGTGATGCATTTTAGAAATGGAACTTGTGGACAAAAGCTATATTTGCTTTATTTCGTTAAAATAAATACTAGTGAAATTAGGTCTTGTACCAGTGGATGGAATTCAGAGAGTCAGGACTATTCATGGACTACAAGACCCAAAAATCTATGTCTTCCAATTCCAGACGTCTATCTATTTAATCCACATGAGATTCATTTACCACAATCAAAATAACAATTTGGAAAGTCATAGTAAATTTTCACGAAACGATGGAATTAAAAATATATATATTTCATTTGAGATTGCTAATGAGTACCTCAAATCAACGTGAGGCAAGCAACATCGCTTTGTGGACAGTTCTACATTTGAAAGCATTTCCTTGGAGTTGTTTGCCTTCAAAAGGGAGCATCATGGAGTGTTTATTGGCTCAAGACTTGGCCTGGGAGAAAATGAAAGTATTGCATCTTGTGAAGGCAAGACAGCTGGCCTCTCCCTGCTACCTCTCATCTCCTGACTTAAATTTGCAGTTCTGGAAGACAGGAACAAAGGAGTTCGAGATGAAATACCAAAGCCAGAAGCTGTCACTCCAAAAGAACAGGCTTACTTTGGACTATAAGTAAGAGTTTGTACTGTCATTGTATTTGTCAAGTGAACTACAGAAGTTCCAACAACCCATCGCTACTGCAGATCAGCACCTAGCACCAAGACATCGCTGGATCCAGGAGTGGTGAGGCACTTTGCTTTGCTCTGTTTGTACATCTGGCTGGCTGGCCCTCTTTCCCCATTTTCTATCATTTTTTTTCCCTCTTCTTTTACTCTTTGAAGTAGCCATTGCCTAATATTGTCTTACCTGTAATGCTTATTAATCATAATTAGCAAATTAGCCAATTTTACTTCCAAGTACAATACTAGTTGTTGTAAAGAAAGCTGTCAGAAATCTGATTGTGCATTATGCCTCCAAGTCCTGGGTGACTCCACCGCTGTAGTGATCCCTGCTGACTAGGGGAGGTGCGACTTAGGAGACAGAAAAAGATTCACCACCCTCAAACTCTACTGTGCGGGACCAGACTATTATCTATAGATTCAACTGTTTCACTGCTGCATGTTGACAATATAAGTGAAGGAGAGCAGAAGTTTCTTTCTTTCTTTCTTTCTTGAGAAAACAATGAAATGTTGTTATACTACATGCAGATATGTGTGGAGAAAAAGATACTCCCCAAACCCATGGTTGGAATCTTTGACAATATTCATAAATTACTGAAAAAGAAATAGTGAATGTCACCTATCTGGATTTCGTGAAGGCAGGTTTGATTTACAGAATGAGTCAGTGAGGTAGTGGAAAACTATTAAAACACATTAAAGATTGGCTAAGGGTCAGGAACACCAGCATAAGATCAAGTATTTAATTTATCTAGAGATTTGGACTGAACTACATCGTCTGGCTTACAGTTGGACTGTTTTCTGTCAAAAGAAAGCAGTCATTTAAAACAAGGGATGAAAATGCCCTTTTAAAGCAACTGTTTGAAAAGAATATTTTCATTTCTTCTCCCTACACTTTGCTAAGCCAAAAAAGGTAATTTATTTAATTTATTGTTGCTCTTCTTAAGGGAAAAGGCCGAAACTACTGAATTGTTTTGAATGCGTTTTTGCATTGGTTGCAGCTTTGATTCTATTGTAATTTTTGGGCAAATTGTGTTTGATGTGGGCAATATTTCAATATTTATTTTAATTGTTGAGCAAAAGTGAACTTATACGGATAGTAGTAGCAATCCAAAATAGTCTATACATCTGCAATTAACTTTGTATGCTTACTAAACTACAAAACACTTTAGGAAGGAAGGAGAATAGTTCGCCAAGTCTATCCAATACTTTTGAACTATAGGAAATCGCTTTATTTCCTTCTCAAATTATTAACAGTTCACCACAGATTATCAGGGAGTTATCATTACTTCTGCTGGACCACTGAGTCCCTGCTGACAGCCGTGGGAAATTTCTTTTCCTTGGTTACCAGACTTAAAAGCTGCTAACTACTTATTCTACTAATCGTGCTAACTATTTATCCTGCCTGTGATACTGCTGCTGATCAGGATTACATCACCTTTATCTCAGGCTCTTACTCCCTCCCTACGTGCCCCAGTCAGCGCATTGCTTTCACTCATCTTTTAATTGGTCTTTCCTAATTATTTCATACTCTTCAAGGATTCTGTATACGCAGTGCCCTACCAAGTGTGCTCTTCCTCTAAAATTCCTCATCTTGCAATTTCCTAATAAACTGACTATAAAGAGAATTGGATTGCACTAAGAAGGAAAGCACTAGGCTGAAGGGCTGCTACCGTGTGGACTGACAGACTGAACTGTGGACTAACCATACCTAAAAATCCTCCTTAGTATCTTCAGCATGAAAAAACAGCAGAAATATGCAGAAATTTCAAAGTACTAAAGAAATAATTTTGACAGCTACAATAGTAAGCGACACTATTCAAATTAGAAGGTCATATACTTATGAAGTTGCAACAAAAACTGCTCTTACGTGCTGTAGAATCATGAGCTGAAAATATTAATGGAGAAGAAAACCTTGTTAGTATTTGATTAGTAAATGAATTGCAAGTCATCAGAGTGTTGGAGTTAAAAACCGTGATTAATCGAGGGAGGTATTTCCAATATACATAAAAGAAGATTTCATGCCACAGAAGAAAGTAATTTGTAAGATCTTCTGCAAAGTAGCACATCTAGTTGACTGCACGTATTTGCATAAATTAATTTCCCTAAACAGGGGCAGAAAAAGGCTATGATGGTGGTCAAGGAATGGAATCTCTGTCATATTAACAGAAACTAAAAGATGTTGACTGGTTTACTTGTCCAAAAATAAAGACCAGATTAAGGGGGCACAAGGTAGCATATCAAATAAGCCCACAAAAGGGAAGAATTATCACAGCTGAAGGACAGCATTTGGTAGAAGATAAACAGTAGAACTTGCTTTGAGTAAATTCTGGCTGAGGGTGGTCCAGCTCTTACCAAGAGTGAGCTTCTGAAACAGTGTTCTTGTACAAATAGTAAGGACGACAGATTTTAAACAGAGCTTGATAAATAAATGAATGATATTACCTGAAGTTGTTACCTATTATAAAAAAGAATTGAACTTGATACATGAGATACCTGTCCTATGTTCCTGTCACTTTTCCCAATTCCTCTTCCGCAAGGGTGCCAAGACTGCACACAGAAAGCTTCCAAGAGTTTAGGGATACAGCCATTTGCATTGGCGCTCTCTCTTGCAAAGAGGCGGGTACATGAGGTTCCACCAAGGTCACGCAGACCAGCCTGCAGGAAAGGCTTCCTTTCCTCATGCTGCTATGCCTGCTTGAGTCACGTCTCTCCATAGCCAGTGCACAGCAACAGCTCAGCCCCACACTTGTTCATCAGCCCCCACTAATTCTGGTGACGGTGATACAGCCTGGCATTCTTGGATGTGGGATTTGGATACCGCTTACTGAATGCTGCTGGCTGTTGGCAGTTGATTTGTTGTATTTTAGTAGATGAGCTGAATTAATTGTCATTTTGTATGCTGTTCACTTCTAGTTCTTACTATCCTATTTCAGAGATGAAATAAAACACATCTTAACTGAAGGCACGCATTTATCCACGTGATCCCACATAGACATTTCCACAGCGTTTTCTGTTACATCCTGTTGGCTTTTACAGTAGTTTGTTACTGCTCCTTTATGCTACTCTCGGCAGGGATGAAGCTTTGTCTGAGCTATCCATAGCACCTCAGAGATAATTTCTTCCTGTGAGGCTGGAACTAATAGAAAATCTATCTGTGGGTATTCTACTGTTTTTTTACATGAATATCACATTTGTAATCAATTTTAAAAAATCCAATAACATTCCTGATGCTACTGTGAAATTTCTGTTCAGGTTCAAGAATTTTTTTAAGAAGCTGAGAAAGTGCATGATAGTGTTGTTCCAAATAAATAGCTTTATATATTTTCAATTTTCTCTATATGTACTGCTATTACGTATATTATGTAATAATAATCACAAAGCAGTCAGTGTTGCAACTCGCAGACCCATCCAGTTATGACTCACATTTCATGAAGCAGAATACCAGGAATCACAAACATGCAAAAAAACATCTCCTCAACACCCATTTTAACACTCCAGGATCTCCTAACCAACTAGGTATTTTACATCATTAGGCATGAGGTTAAACATGTCACCAAAACCCATCTGTAGGTTTAAAGGCCCTCACTTAAGGTCTTACAGAGAATTACAATTCTGATGCATCCATCTCGGTACGATGTAAGAACATGACTGATAGATGCCACATCCTCTGACGTACTGAGCACTGCCAGAGGAGCCCAAGAGTTCTTGTCTGTCATCTGACTATACGAATATGCTATGTTATGTCACTGTCAAAAGCCAGCATTGAAGTGCTAAATTTGGTTTACATTTTAGTACTTAAAAGTGTAATTGCTTCTCTTAGTTGTGGTTTACAAAAACTGCTGCATCTGTGAGAAAGCATGGTGGGGATAGCCTGAAGACTCTTGTTCTTATGCTACAATTTTTATTTCTTTTCTGCCCTGCGTATTTACCCTTAGACAACATCTAGTTCTTCACCTCATCTGCCACATAAGAAGCTGTCAAATGACTATTCAAGCATTAAAAAAAAGAAGGGTCTGTTAAGTTGTAAATTAAGTGACAGTCTATAGCTGAAAATTAGCAGTAACATGCCCAAAACTTTATTGATGGCTAAGGAAAGGTGAATAACCCCCACTACGGCTGGCTGTGTAATTACTGACCTTTAGAACTCAAGAGCTATTAATTTAAGACCAGATACCAGTGAACTAGCAAACGAAATATTTTGCAGCAGGACAGTAAAAGCACATACCAAGTTTGTGCATATATTCAGTGCCGCCTTGGAAGGTAATGGTATTTATCTGCCTTTTCTGTTTTAACTAAGAATATAACCCAGGTTATATCTGGATATAAAATGACTGTCAGCTAGTTCTGAAGACCAGTAGGACTGCACCCACAGATACTAAGGCTTTTCAGTACGTTGCAAGAAATCCACATCTTTCCAAATGGGTTCTTAAATAACTGCTAAAGGCAAGAAAACGGCATTGCCAAGCTCAGCCATTCCGATACATATATTGTGAACACTGCATCTATACTGTGAGAGACGGAACAGCAAGTAACAGGAAAAGAGCAGGTAGTTATCAGACATCAGCTCCTTTAAATGTGGGACTCACATGAACACAAAACCCCACCTCCGTTAACACTGCTGTGTTTCATCTGTTATATGGACTTTCTGTCCTTCAACAGTTCACAGAAATAGTTGCTCAAAAAGAATTAACAAAAATAATTCAGCAGCATTTAACTTCTCTTCTTAATAGTAAGCATTTACTGTGATGGAAAGAGTTGTCCATTGACAAAGCAACTGCATTTTAAGAGCAGTGGTCAAGCGGTGATGTTGACAGTAAGAAAATAACAGTAATTTACAAAACTATGAACTAAAAAAACCAACAAGTTAGGAACTAATGAAGAAGAAGGTGTCTGACCTGGTGCAGACGTTCTTCCGTGAAGAGCAGTTTCGTTAGGCAGGAGATCTTTTGAGTTGGAAGTGAATGGTGATTGTCTAAATGTGTCTTCAGAAAAGTAAGGGCTATAGGGGAAATAAGACATCTTTTTGTAAACAAAACAGCAGTTAATAGAAAAAGTAATCACTATTTTGTACTTTAACCTCTCAGTATAACAAATATCATCTTGTTAAAAGCTCTGCTTAATTTACGGAATTCATGCTGAAAGACAACCAGACTGTGAGGTAAGGTGTGGAGAAGAGGCAAGCTTTGGGAAAACTGCATTGGGAAGCAAAAACTGAAGTCTTCCCAGAATGCTTTTCATTACAGTACTTCAACAACTCAGATTTGTTTTATCACACCACAATATTGGTAAAGAAAATTAATGTTTCAAAAAATCTGTATTCTACTCCCAAAACACGTGGAAAATATGTTTAAAATATTTTTAAGTATTTAATAACCTCGGGAATACAGTAATTGCATTCAAAACGAAGCTTTTCAAATTTTAGGTTGAGATGCTGAACTGTTCTCTATTGACAGAGCATTCCATGTACGAAATTAACTCAATTAATTCGACTTTTAGAGCAGGAAACAATTAACAGAATCTAACTGAATGGTGACTTCCCAAACAGTGTAAATCACCAGCTGCTTGATTCTAAAAAGTACATCATGCTTTGGTTTTAATTAACAGGAGGCAAACAGTTAATTCCAATAGTGAATGGGCATTTCTGTGAAAGTATTTTGTTTGCTGCTCAAATGTTGTAACAGAAACTATGATGCCTTCTACACAATAAAGACATTAGTAAGAATTACATAAAAAAAATTAAAAACGGACAAAAAGACGAGCGGTCTTTTTGGACAGCTGTTTTCTAATGTATTATATTCCATCTGCATACAAAGGATGAACTTCTAAGCAAAATGGGAATTCATTTTAAATCTGATCTGTACTGTATTGAGATTCCTCAACAGGCTGAGAAAGTAGGTTTTTTGTTTGTTTTGATTTTTACTACTATTTATTTTTTGCTGTTCTCTATGTGACAGTTAGTGGGGTACTTTGCTATTTCTGCCTAAGTTTGAACATAACTAACATAACAGTCAAACAGGTTGAGCTGGATGAAAAGCATGAAGCTGCCCCAAACTTGAGCAGTTCACTGTATGCAGATACCTGATTAATCACAATAAGGTGAAGAGCTGCTGCCCACATGTGCAAAAGTTCACTTTTCCAAGACTCACACTCCCCTCAGGGGTGACATAATATAAAACAGACTGACGCTGTATAAAAGTATGGTGTGATTCACTGCAACATTCCTTTCGGTGGCTTAATAATGATTTGAAAAAAAAACCAACACCAATAAAAAGAAGTTTTGTAACTGTTGCAACTCTTCAAAATCATGTAATCCCCTCAGCTTACCACGCTGGACTGCCTGCTTGTAGATTCACTGTCTCACTGTCCATTGCTAGCTCTAGACAACAGAGCTCATCTATTTCAGTTTAGGATATAAATCCTCGGTAGTTTGCTTTTGAAAACCACACCGTGCTTGTGTCGTAAGGATCTCCCTTCTTTGCCATCAGCCTCCAGTCAATTACAGAACCATCCTTGGATATGCCTTTTTTTTTGTTTGTTTGTTTAACCTTTTTCTAGAATGGCAGATGAGTCTCTTCAGTGTCAGCCCATTATTTTTTATTATTTTTATTTCGGTGGGTATGCCCTCCAATTCTCAATCCCAAGTATAAATGGAGAGCTCCTGCAACACAGAAACTACAGTTGTTCTCAGTCTCTTTGTCAAGTCCCTTCTGATGAAGATTAAGCTTTCCTTTTTTTTCCTTCTGGCTGCACTTTTCCAGTTTTCTGTCTACACAGTTCTCTAGATGAAAGAAACTTATCTTGGCATCTCATGCTGGCGTACTCACTTCCAGATCATTTGCTTCTCCGCTTTCTTTCTTCTTATCACAGATGGCAGGTTCTACCATCTCACTCAGCCATTGAACTGTGAGGAATCGTTGCCAGTTTTGGCTGCTTGAGCAAAGTCATATGGAAGTATATGCTTACACAGTCCAGGAATATTCACAGGAAGAACAGCAACAGACGGGAGACAGAAATGTTAATATGGAGTACGATATAAAAAAAAGAAGTGCTTGTGTACCCCCTTCGTGCTGGACTTGGCTGATTTAAGACACTCACCAATGACACAGCTGAATCTCTCCACTGCCCAATTACTCACAGGTGGATGACACTGACCTCACCTTGACTCTGCAGCTGTCAGCAAACTTCACATAACAATTGTGATTCCAGTGCCTTCCTGTCATGACTCCAGATGTAGGTTGGTGAGCCAAACTGCAACATTACACGTTTTCTTAATGCAGCCTTCGTGCCTCTATTCTCCACTGGCTGCTCCATCACATTCTATTTTTGAGAGCTGCCGTACTCTTACCAGTAAAGACTTCCAGCTGTTTGCTTGGTTTGGGGTGCTTTGTTTCTTTTTTCGGCAAGGTCTTTTGAGTCCATCTGTTGGAACGCGCAGGATTTAGTAGACTGACTCACTTGTCCTTACAAAGCTCTTCTTATTCATATTGATTGATAGGTAAGACGAGAAAAGCACCCACAAGAATTCAGTTGGGCACTCTGCTTTTCAAACACTGATGGGTAGCAGCCATTATCAGGACTTCTCAGTACAATTCAGTGCAAGTTAAACAGCCAACTGTGCTGCTCTCTTACGAGGTAGCAGCCTTCTAAGAAGGAAGGCTGTCTGAACTGTCCTCAACCTTTCCAGTTTGAACTATTTTTGATAGATCCAAAAGTAGCTCTGGATTCTCACACCAGTCCTGCTGGTAATATCACAAGACCCTAAAATCTATTTTCTACCAACTACTTGTCACCCCTCCCTGCAACACATATTGGGCGGTCAATGAGTAGTTGGACAATATGTGCATTCAACTGTATAAGCATCTTTCAGGCTTATGCTTTTTAAGAAATAAAGGGAAGTCTGTGCAGTCTCCATATCCCGCAAGTTCCCAAACTAGCAAATACGAAAAGCGTTCTCAATAACCAGAAGTTAAAAAGCTCAATTTAATTCTCTTTCAACCTGTAACATCAAAAAATCCCTGATGGACATTTACCAGGTGGTTCAGTTTATTAAAAACAGATTTATTACAGTTACCGTGCAAGGAGAGGATGGGTCTAGGAATTTAAGATGAGCACATTTCAGAGACCTCTTCTTCTGCAACTGAAATGCTTTTCAAATTCTGTCTAGACAAAGCTGCCTTAGTTATCAAACATTGTACGTGCTGGGGATTTCTGCAGGAGGGGCTGCAGAGACACGGAAGGTCTTACTCTATCTCTGAAGGAACGCTCCAATGCTCCAGCCACAGTCAGTCTGCAAAACCACCCACACTGAACTGAACACTGAACCACCACACTGAACTGAACACTGAACCCACAGAACTTTCACGGAGGACACGTGTATGTATTCCTGTCTCAAGGGTTAGATGAGAGCCAAAGTCAATTCCTGTTTACTACTGATCACGGGCTCCTAAGTTTTCACCAATTCTAGTTGCTACTTATTACACAATAGCTTTGAATTTTTCCCTTAGGGCACCTCACTTTGCTGCTCACATATTGAAACAACTTGTCAGTATGTTCCCAGCCAAAATACAGTAAAGGGCATATTTCTTTAACAACACATGCTATAATTGAATCGTATTTTAAATTCCTGCATAATTTCACATATTTGTTAATGTGACTGTAATCGTGAACAAGTTTCATTAGCATTGTCTCTTACAGTCTTTTAAAAATTCATCTCTGGAAGGCATTTGAGAGGATTCAGAAATATTAAGCTGAAATTTTATTCAAGAAGTCCAAGTTTGACAGAAGACTGAATCACAACACCTCTTCTTACATTGGTCCATGTCTTAAAATCCAGTTGTTGTCCTGTTCTTCCCTCAAGCACTGCATGTACTATGCAGTTTCAATTAAGCTTCGGTTTTTGCAGAAAAAAAGCACACACAGAAAACAATTCTTAAAACCAAGCGTGAATACTTGACTGTGAGAACAGCCATTTTGGCCCAAAGGCCTTTTGCAGCATGGACACTAAACAATCGTATCTACTGGTGCCATTTCTCACATACAGGTTCCATTACTAAAAGAAATATCTTACACTTGTAATATCAGGTCATATTTGCAAGAGAGAGACATACCCAAGTTTACAAGGCAAAACTCAGCAATGCCATTTGCACTGCAGATTTATGGATAACAACAGACTGTGCCTTACCTGACTGTAGTTCTGATGGTGTTATCTTTATTGTGATTGTGCTCTTTGCTCACCTTTTCTGCAGAGGAATGTACATTTTTTTGTGATTATAAGATAAATCATATTTTCCTTATCAAATTTGACTCAGCAGAACTATTTTAATGCTTTCTGATTACAGAATAATTTAAGGGGAAGTGGTCACAAGATGATTTCAGAATAAGCACAGCTTTTTTTAAAAATATAACTCGTACCAATTTTTTTCACCCTCACATTTCAGTATCAGTGCACCATGTGCGCCACAAGCTTTCATTAAACAGACCTCAAATCACTTCATGTATGTAACAGCTGAGATTGACCTTCTGCGTGGAGAGAAATGGACAGCACAACTTTGGGAGCGCTGTACGCTACAGACACTGTCCCGTTTATGACAGTAACTACCTATATTTTCCCTTATATTCCAAGGCCTCAATCAACCATTCGTCACTAATCATTTAATTAGCCTTCAAAAAAAAGAGTTGAACTCTGGCATTTCCAATTCAGTTCAAATAACACGAACCTGATCAGGCTGTCACAGTGCTCTGAAACATGTTATCTATGGGGAGCATTTGGCAAGACTTCTATATTTCACATGCAAGGGTAGAAGGGCTCTACCTCCTATTATGCTCCAGCCTTAGCAATCTCATACTTTCGTAGCACCTTAATGATTATACACAATCTCTTTTTGCTCTTTAAACTCTGTTTTCAACTATTTTCACTACTGTTAGTGAACATTGTGGACATTAGGAAGTATTACTTTTCAGAAAGGGTGGTCAGGCACTGGAATGGACTGCCCAGGGAGGTGGTGGAGTCACCGACCCTGGGGGTGTTCAAGGAAAGACTGGATGTTGTGTTGAGGGACATGGTTTAGTGGGAGCTATTGGTAATAGGTGAACGGTTGGACTGGATGAGCTTTTAGGTCTTTTCCAACCTTGGAGATTCTATGATTTTACCTGATAACTGGAAGAGCAGCTCAGATGCCATCTTCACTGATATATCCTGGCTGAACAGATTTCGTTCTGGGAGCATACGACCTTCTGGTGCCTTCTGGATGTGTTCACTAATGTCTCGCCCTAATAAAGTGCTGTAGCCAACATTTTGGCTGGGTTGGCTGGGTGACACTGAAGTCTGCGAATCATGAATGTCAACTTCCATTGGTTCTTCTTTTATCTTTACAGTCTGGGTTTCCTTGTAACTCTCAGCTGCAAATAGGTATTAAAAAAAAAACAAAACAAACAAACCACAATTACTTAATTAGGTTACAATTTTTCAGAGCACTCAAAGCAGGAATCTCAATTACAAAGTTTAATTTGTATACCCTATAACAGCAAATGGTAAGAGAAGCAAGCAGCTGACTGCTACAATATTCTTCTGGGAGTTTATAAATAGAAGAAATGTCTTGAAAATAATACTTTAAACTACAGAGCAGAAAACTGCATATTTGCAAATCCGAGAATTACTTCATTTTCTGTGAACACTGGGTATAATCATATCTCAGTTTGTGAAGCTGTGCTTTTATATACTACACAGAGTTACAACTAAAAACCAGCTCTTCAAAGCTGGACACTGAAACTATCCTACAAACTTATAATTACTCTCCATCAGAGCAGTAGCAGCACGTATAGTTGGAAACGCTATTATGGGGTGGAGGTAGAAACTTCATCTGCCCATCTTGTGCTCTCTTTTCAAGATGAGATGAGCAGTTTTCTAACATGTAACAATCTCTGATACTCCCTCACGTATTACAAGACCCAATAACCTTGATAAATAGCTTCCATATGCCCATATCTTTCCAGCTCTGTCTTCCTCTCTAGTAGTAGTAAACATAGAAAACTACAGTTTAGAAGCCAGTGTGTAGTTCACGTCCTGTATGTGTGACTTCTCAGGTGCTGCTGAATGCTGATCTGGCTGCAAGGCTAGCAATCATTTTTTCTTCAGAAGAAAAGCTCTGAAATCTCAAAAACAAGGCCCCAAGGTAATCTGGCTACCACGCTCCCTTCTCGATTCAGACTTTCAACTGTGAAAAAAGACGCTGAAGACCTGAAGTTTAGAACAGAGAGAGATGATGAGTTTTCTAATGATCTTTCAGAGTGCTGCTGAAAGGACACATATCTATAACGGTGGAACGGCCCAACCACGTGTGTTGCCTCTTCTGTTTGGATGCTGACCAGACACTTGGGAAACAGGCAGCTTAAGAAGAAAGGCAGACTCAAGGAAATAAATCAGTGTGTGAATGTAGTTACATAGCAGAACGGCCATCATGTGAGAAACTGCTCTAACAAAGATCTATGATTCCAGATTCGGAAAAACGTCCAAAGGATTTATTCTTTTTGCCTAAACCTGTATACGTACTTCTGCTACTGATCAAGATACTCAAAACCTTAAGAAAAATCTAATTCCGTTTACTTTAGGGCACAGGCCCTAAAATAGCCTGTGTAGCCTCCAGAGGGGGAGTCAAGTAAAGCATGACTTTGAACTTCAGAAGCCAAAGGAAGAAAAGGCAAATCTAGCACTCAGGGAAAGAGGCCAAATTAAGGCAGAGATACCATAGCACACTGAGAGCCAGAGCAGCACGGAGTTTAAATGCTGAGAGGGTTAAGACCTGAGAGAGCAGTCTGGCCCTTGTTCAGACTGGGGAATGCCAATTCAGATTGAACGGAGGCATTTTGTACAATGAGCATCCCCGCATGGAAATTTTCTCCTTATCTGACAAATTTCACAACTTATAAAAATACAATATTAAAATAAATAAATGAACACCAGTTTGTAAGAAGAACAAACAAAATGCAAAAAAAAAAAAACAAAAAAACCAACCAACCAAACAAAAAACCCCCGAACCCCATAAATGGTATTTTCTATCAAATCTGGATCTGAGAGAAAAGTGAAAAAAAATAAAACAAACACTAAGTTCACTTGATAAATTAATCTGTTGCTATCCTCTCTGCCTTTCCCTTCCTCTAACGCAAATATGAATGTGTCAGCCTCACAAATTTTACTCCAAGTACAAATGTTTCAAGCACCATCCCTTTTTTTTCCAGTTACTCAACATTACAATAATACTGAGGGGTACCAACACACAGTATGGTCGTTCCTGATAACATCCAGAGGACAGCCAGTTGGTTGGTGTCGTCTCCTAGCCTCAAGCCAAGATGAACAGAATCCTTTTAGTATGCAGGCACACCCATCTCACATGAATTTAAATGGACGTGTTCCACTTTTTCACTCCCTTGGTTTATATTTCTCCTCTTCTGTCCTTAAGTGGAGGAAAAAGTGGCTATGCTACTTGCAGATCTCAAAATAAAAACAAACAGAAATCAAAGCCAGGAGATAAAAGCTACTTGGTTATGCTCCAGCAGTGATTTACATGAAGTGCTCTTGGTCTTCCCTTATGACATTTCTTGACCTTTCAAAACAACACTGAGAAAAATCTTTACGATCTACCACGATCCACCAGATATGAAAATTATTACAGAGAATTCTCAAATGAAGAGGAGTTGGAAATACTACTATGTAATGCCTTTTTTCTCCGCTAAACAATTAAAAAAAATATTTTTTTTTCAAGCTTAAATTAATCTTTTATCATAAAGTTACAGAACACTGCATCTGTGTTCAGAAGTGAAAAAATAATATGCTGTGCACTGAAAGTACACACAGAAGGGCAAAGGAACGCATCAGGTAACACTGTCAATAAAAGCTCAGGTAACTCCACAAATAAATGAGTTCTTCAGCTGTCCTACAGACTGAGCTCTGCACCCAGATGCCAAATTTAGGTGCAGAGTCAAGCTGACCTTTGTTGCTCTTTCTGCTTTTAAAATATTCTTTCTATTTCTGTTCCTGCCCCACACAGCTGAATTCCCTGTCCTGCAAATGCTTTTCAATCAGACAAACTGATACAACCCAACTAAGGCAGTAGTTGAGCAATACCAATGAAATTTTCACCCCTGCAATCGGCTAACAATTCAGTAGCCCTAACTAAATTTACATATTTGATAATTTCCTTTGACCTTTACCTCTGCAGCTACACCCTTCTGACCTGGCAGCATGTACCTGACAAATGTGAATCTTGTCGTAGTCCAATTCCCAAAAACAAAGAGAGAAGACATGGGGGCTCTCTGTGATAATTTTACAATGCTAACTGAAGAGAAATTCTGTCCCATGAGTGAGAGCCACATCAGAAAGCCATACGCAGACAACCCAGCTGTGCAACATCACGGGTGGCATTAAGGTTATGGCCTTACACATCTCATTGTACAGGCAAACTGTAACTTCAAGATTATTTTGCCTTCTGCTCGTTTGTGGAATAAGGAAATAATCCTCATCTCCTCTCATAGGTATCTCACGTGGCCATAGTGCAGCTGATGATTTTAAAGTCAAGGATAGGTACATTGAAAAGTCTCCCCATTCAAATAATCAAAGTCACGACAGCTTTGGTTTGTTTCCTACTTTTGGATTTCTCCTCGAGCACACGGACTAGGTTAAATAAAACGCACTGTATCACAACACAAAGTTAGTACACAGGAGTAATCTTCTTCACCTAGATTTTTACAGAAGTAGAGACATCCAATTCCCAGGAAAAAAAAAAATATATATATATATATATCAGTGGAAACCAACAACTCAAATAGCTTCGAAGTATCTGGACCGTGATCTGGTCTGCTATTGATTTAAAAACGGTCTGCTATTCGTTTCAGACTAAACTGGATGAAGCTCAGAACAACAGTACAGCATAGAGCAGTGAACATTGCTCCTCTGGCAGCAGATGAACTAAATGACCTAATACACCTTTTTTCTCTTTTTCTGCTCTTTTTTGTTTGTTTGTTTGTTTTGTTTTTAATATAGAAGCAGCTTAACAAAATTAGACAGAATTACTGCATATATGGATGTATCATTATGAAGCTACAGAGATGATCTTTAGAGTATACCTTTAATCAGTTGATTTACAAAACCCTCAGTGAACTATTAATGCCATGTGAGACAGTTTCCCACATCAGATACGCAATAATGCAGTACTGGAAAGGCTTCTTGCAGAAATAACTAATTTTTTCCACAAATT